AGGCCACAACAGTGAGAGCCCCGTGTACCGCAAAAAAAAAAAAAAAGAAGAAGCTTCCAGTGGGAAAACTGGTTCAACTTGCTACATGGCAGTTCTGGAATCAAATCACATAAAACCTACGTTTGCCCCCATCCTGACTTCACTCCTCATGGGATTATGTGCTCATTAAATCAGTCACCTTCGATAACCTGAGAGACCAGACAGTGGGCTACTGGGGATGAAGGGGCATGGCCAGAAGAAGTGGGGAGGAGTCTTGGAGAAAAGCAGATATTTAGTTTGAATCTGATAAAAGTAGCCCCAGGGAGGCAATGAAAACATCCAGAGGAAGGGGCAGTGTGTTCAACCCCACTTAGGAACGTTTTGAGCACTTGAGTTTTTGACTGGAGATCTTCTGAGACTTCCCTCTGAAAAATTACAGCCCACTTCCTCCCTCTTTTCAGGACTAATGTGGAGTCATTTTCTTCAGTTCTTTGAGACACCTTTCCCCATGACAGTAGCTCGTGGCTCTTCCTTAGAAGCCACATCACCAGAAAGATTGCATTTTATTTATTTGTTTATTTTTATTTTCATCATTAAAATTTTTTTTTCATTTTAATACAATTTTTAAAGGTTACTTTTCACTTACAGTTATTACAAAATATTGGCTAAATTCCCCGTGTTGTACAATACATCCTTGAGCCTGTCTCACACCCAACAGTTTGTACCTCCCACTGCCCCACCCCTGTGTTTCCCCCTCCCCCTCTCCCCACTAGTAACCACTAATTTGGTTTCTGTATCTGTGGGTCTGCTTCTTTTTTGTTGTATTCACTAGTTTGTTATATTTTTTAGATTCTACATATAAGTGATATCATACAGTATTTGTCTTTCTTTGTCTGATTTATTTTGCTTAGCGTAATGCCCCCCAAGTCCATCCACGTTCCTGCAAATAGCAAATTTTCATTCTTTTTTATGGCTGAGTAGTGTTCCATTGTATATATATACTACAAGAAAGATCACATTTTAGACATCAAAAAGAATTCCTTTAATTAGGTAGCATAGTTCCCTTTTGCAGATGAGAAAACTGAAGCCCCACAAGGTTCACTGACCAGCCCACAGTTTTACTTGATTAAAATCAAGCACTAGAGCTACAGCCTTCCTGCTGCTGGACGTTCCATCCTACCACCCTCGAGCCAGCAGAGTAAAGGAGCATCACTGAGCCCCAGAACAGGGACTCTGAGGACACCTGCTGGGAGTCGGGGGAAGATGCATGCATTTTTTTAAACTCATTTCCAAAGAGGAATCTTAGAAATAGAGATGAAGAGACTTTTATGGAAAGAGAGAAAAGCCACAGAATTAGCCTCTCCCCCAGCCCTTGCAGTAGACACCGCTGGGCTAAAACCTGATTGTGTCTCCTCTTAACAGCTGCAACCCTTGGGGGAATGGGTATGGGCAGAGAGTAACCACCTGCAAGGGATTCCACAGCCCGGTCACAGGCTGCTTCTGTGTTTTGATTTGCCTGCAGCTTTATTATGTGAATTTATGTTGAATGATTTAAAAATATAATTCCTTTTATGTTTCACTGTTGATCATTTCATTGATTTTTTAGCACTGCTGTCCAAAAATGTCATTGGTACCTAAATACACAATTGCCTTAAGGAAAGGGTACAGCCCTACCATTTGGATAACTGAAGTACATAGAGACATAGATATAAGGACAAGAGAACAGAAAATAGAAGACCCTTAGCACACAGAGGAAGAGAAATCCAGTGATTTGAGCTGTCTCAAAACTATTACAAGCAAAAAAATCAAAGGACAACTGTTTAATGTCATTAGAAGGAAATATTTCAAAGAAAGAGAGCACTTAGTAGAAATAAAGGGGCACAAAATATTCCTTTCAGCCAAAGAAAGGCCCTCCATGTATATTCTCACCAACCTAGTGCCTTCTTAGCATCTTTCCAGCACGTCACATGTACGTTACTTCACCCCGAGTATGTTTGTGCATTTGTGTGTTCTCGCCCCTGAATTGTCCTAGCATTGAAATAAGCAAGGGCTGACCTCTCTCTCTGATTACCCTAGAGACATAATGAACAACAAGGTGTTTTACCAGCACCCCAACCTCATGCGAGTCCTCGGCATGCACGAGACAGTCATGGAGGTGATGGTGAACGTGCTGGGTGCGGAGAAATCTCAGGTAATGCTCTGAGGAGAATTTAACCAGAACTTGACCCCTGGGCAGGGACACGTGAGGTGACCTCTTCACAGCCAGATGGCTGGTGCCTACTGCCTAGTGACTCTTCCAGAGGAGGGGGCGGGGATGAGCACACAGCCAGGAAGGAGTCATGAGATGGGGTCCAGCCAGTGTAGGAGTTCTTCTCGCTCATTCCACTGGGCTGCGTAGTCTCCTTCCCACCCTCTGCAGCCCTGCTCCTTCGGAGATGGAATGCCTCTGGCTCCACTTAGGAGCCTGGTGTGTTTGGTGCTGCGTCAGGAGAAGGCTGTTCTAAAGGAGAACACGATTTTAATAACGATCCTGGCAGTGTTCCCACCAGAGTATGCGTGTTTCCTCTCTGAGCCAAGTTCCTGACGATGCTGGATTTCCTGGCCAGCTCCCCCATAAGGAGCCTGCTGTCAGTGGGGGGGCTCCTGTTGCCGAGGGGCAGGGAGTGCTGATAGGGCCCACCTGGGCATGTATCACAATTTGTCTGGGTCCTCTTCAGAGCTCGAGAGCTTCTGAAGGCAGAAGATGGGGTGTGTTTTCAAATATTGGAAATTCCGAAGTGCCTGATCCTAGGAAAGCAGTTCCACCAGTATTGACAGGTGAGGGCTGTGAGGTAAGAACAGGAGCCAAGCTTACCTTCCTCCTCACTTCCTTCCTTCTGGTCTCTTATGAAAGTGGACTCTCCCCAGGAGATCCCTGAGCAAATGTCCGGATGCCTCAGCAGGCAGGCAGACTGGAGCTTTCAGAGCCTCCATGATTCTAAAGGCAGAAATTAAGGGCTTTTTAGGGTCCTGAGCCAACACTGATACCATTTACTGAGCATGATTGATCAGACGGAAGATGTGGCCAAGCCCTGGAGATGCTAATTACTTTGTTAAGAAGAGAAGCCAAGCACCGTAGATGGTAATAGAAGTTGGCATCTCAGTGCTAAATTGTAAGAATCATATTACGGGTACTGTAGGAGCCCATAGGAGAGTAGTTATCAAGGACAGAAGTAGGGGGAAGGCTCACAGTCTGAGACGGTGATGCTTTGGGGACTTCTACAACTGTAGGAGCCAATCTTTACCCAGAAGGCTCAGGTTTGATGATAGTTTTGGGTCTTGTTTGTCTGTGACCACCCATCTGCCTTTCTGTCTACTCCCTTCCTAGTTAGAATAGTCTGATATAGGGTTGTACAGTTTCTCATGACAGGTAAGGATGACTGGGTTTCTGGTTTGACATCTATTTTCTTTGAAAGAAAGATATTTCAGGAATTATAATGAGCTCTCAGTATTTTTAGAAGCCTCTTTTAGGTGTGTATTCTCTGTCCCTCCTATGAATCAGTCTTGGAGCCATCTGGAAGTAAGGAGAAAATTCATTTTCCAAACTGTTGGCAGCTTGCAAGGCTTCACCCTAAGCCTCCTTGAAGTCAGCCTTTTCAGAAAGGCCTCGTGATAGATTGTCCTCCCTGACACTTTCTACTTTTCCCT